CCAAGGACTGATGCAGTATAGAACTATGCCCTTTGGTTTGGTAACTGCTTGTGCTACCTACATGAGACTGATGAGAAAGGTCTTGGGTAATATGCCAAATGTTTCAGTTTATTTTGATAACACTTACGTAATGACATCTACGTGGGGCGAACATATCCAAACATTAACATCAGTTTTGCGTAGGTTACGCTCACATGGCCTCACTGCCAAGCCGAAGAAATGCTTCCTTGGGTATAACAAGATTAGATATCTTGGACTGATACTTTCTAATAACTCTCTGCAGCCTCTCCCCAGTAAGATCAAAGCTTTATTAGAATTTAAATTCCCCAAAACCAAGAAGCTCATGCGAAGCTTTCTTGGTTCTGTAAATTTTTATGCACGGTTTATCCCGAATCTTACTGATCTTACAGGCATCTTATCGGACTTCCTTAAAAAGTCTGTGAAGGAACCTCTTGAACTTTCCGACGTAGCTCGGGATAAGTTTAATGAGATTAAAAGTATCTTTTCGAAAGACCCTATACTTAAGATTCCTGATATTAATAAAACATTTTGTTTGAGAACTGATGCCTCCAATCTGGCTTAGGTGCGGTGCTACTACAATACCGTGTTTGGAAACCTCCCTTCCCTGTATGCTTCCTAAGCCGGAAACTCCTTCCCGCAGAAACAAGATACTCCACAATAGAAAAGGAATGTTTAGCCCTTGTGTGGGGTATCTCCAAACTTTAAAATTTTTTTTGCTGGGAAAAGAATTCATTTTAGAAACGGAACCCAAACCTTTGATATACCTAGAAACTTTTAAGGGAACCAACAGTCGCCTCTTGAGGTGGACATTGGCACTCCAGGCTTTTTAAATTTCCATATTGTGTATATCAATGGTTCATCCAATTATTTCTCTGACTGGTTAAGTCGTGACAGTCAGTAGAAGATTTGTTGCCTTACGCGACTTCCACATGTTAGAACTTTTTCCTCGCCTATTCTTCTTATACTCCTTGACTATAAGTCTTGGTATGGGGGAGTGGTGAGGGAAAAGTTCAAAAGATAGGAGTAGCCAGCCTGGGGTAATACTGTCTGAAGTTGTTACAGGGCTGAGTAAGCCTTCACACCCGCCTTACGAACGCATTGCGTTACGTTAAATCCGCCATACAAAGCATTTGAACGCAAAAATTTTGCCTCGCCTCATGATTAAAAAACTCGCCTTACGTGATTCGTCCAGGATGCGTCCCACGTGTGGCCTCAGCGCCAGGGTTTACAAGCCAGCCAATGTGGTCGCATCTACGCATACATTCGGTACATTTCACATTATCCCAGTGATTTTAGTGCTTGTAACTGCAAAATAAGTCACCATGGACCCCAAGAAAGCTTCTAGTGCCATCCCTGTGGTAAAAAGGGCGAAAATTAGTATGGAATTGAAAAAAGAGATTAAGGAAATGTGTGCAAAGTGGGTTGAACTGCAAACCTTTACGGATGAAAATCACCCTGACACAGCTACTGCAAGCTGTGTTGGCAACCTGTACATTGACAATGTTATGGCCCATTTTAGGAAAGTCTTAAAGGAACAGGAGGTACAGAGCTCTATGGACAGATTTGTTGTGCGACAGAGGTCCAGTGACTCTCAAGCTGGTCCTAGTGGCATTAAAAGAAGAAGGGAAGTAACCCTGGAAAAGGGCTTGCTACCTCAAGTCAAGAAGAAGGGAAGTAACCCTGGAAAAGGACTTGCTACCTCAAGTCCTAATGGAAGGGGATTCCCCTTCTAAACAATAACTTCCACACACTCCCCTCCCATCAATCATCACCAGATCTTCAATAAAGGTAAGTGTCATGTATTCTATTCTTAGTAGAGTAGTAATTGTGCATGTCTTCTTCAGTTTGTGTGTATTAAAATTAATATTTCATGTGGTAAAAATTGTTTTTTTTTCATACTTTGAGGTGTCTGGAACGGATTAATTTGATTTCCATTATTTCTTATGGGGAAAATTAATTCGGCTAACGATAATTTTGGCTTGCGATGAGCTCTCAGGAACGGATTAATATCGTAAGGCGAGGGTCCACTGTATATGGAAGAGGGTAAGGTACTTAGGGATTGGCAGAGAGCATGCATAGTTCCTTTGTATAAAGGCAAAGGGGACAAAAGAGAGTGCAAAAATTATAGGGGAATAAGTCTGTTGAGTATACCTGGTAAAGTGTGTGGTAGAGTTATTATTGAAAGAATTAAGAGTAAGATGGACAGTAGGATAGCAGATGAACAAGGAGGCTTTAGGAAAGGTAGGAGGGGGTGTGTAGACCATTTTTTTTTACAGTAAAACAAATAGGTGAATAGCATATAGATAAGGGTAAAGAGGTTTTTGTGGCATTCATGGATTTGGAAAAGGCGTATGACAGGGTGGATAGGAGGGGAAATGTGGCAGATGTTGCAGGTATATGGAATAGGAGGTAGGTTACTGAAAGCAGTGAAGAGTTATTATGAGGATAGTGAGGCTATGGTTAGAGTATGTTGGAGAGAGATAGATTAATTCTCAGTAAAAGTAGGCCTTAGACAAGGATGCATGATGTCACCATGGTTGTTCAATGTATTTATAGATAGGGTTGCAAGAGAAGTGAATGTGTGGGTCTTGGCAAGAGGTGTGGGGTTAAAAGACAAGGAATCTAACATAAAGTGGGAGTTATCACAATTGCTCTTTGCTGATGACACTGTGCTTTTGGGAGATTCTGAAGAGAAGTTGCAGACATTGGTGGATGAGTTTGGTAGGGTATGTAAAAGAAGAAAATTAAAAGTGAATATAGGAAAGAGTAAGGTAATGAGGATAAAAAGATTAGGTGACAAAAGATTGGATATCAGATTGGAGGGAGAGACTATGGAGGAGGTGAATATATTTATGAGGGAAAAAAGGTGAGTGGTGCATTGAAGTATATGTGGAGACAAAAAACGCTGTCTATGGAGGCAAAGAAGGGAATGTATGAAAGTATAGTAGTACCAACACTCTTATATGGGCGTGAAGCTTGGGCTGTGAATGCAGCAGTGAGGAGGCGGTTGGAGGCAGTGGAGATGTCCTGTCTAAGGGCAATGTATGGTGTAAATATTATGCAGAAAATTTGGTGTGGAAATTAGGAGAAGGTGTGGAGTTAATAAAAGTGTTAGTCAAAGGGCTGAAGAGGGGTTGTTGAGGTGGTTTGGTCATTTAGAGAGAATGGATCAAAGTAGAATGACATGGACAGCATTTAAATCTGTAGGGGAAGGAAGGCAGGGTAGGGGTCGTCCTCGAAAAGGTTTGAAGGAAGGGGTAAGGGAGGTTTTGTGGGCGAGGGGCTTGGACTTCCAGCATGCGTGCATGAGCGTGTTCGATAGGAGTGAATGGAGACGAATGGTATTTGGGACCTGACGATCTGTTGGAGTGTGTGCAGGGTAATATTTAGTGAAGGGATTCAGGGAAACTGGTTATTTTCACATAGCCGGACTTGAGTCCTGGAAATGGGAAGTACAGTACAATGCCTGCACTCTAAAGGAGGGGTTCGGGATATTAGCAGTTTGGAGGGATATGTCGTGTATCTTTATACTTATATGCTTCTAAACTGTTGTGTTCTGAGCACCTCTGCAAAAACAGTGATTATGTGTGAGTGAGGTGAAAGTATTGAATGATGAAAGTATTTTCTTTTTGGGGATTTTCTTTCTTTTTGGGTCACCCTGCCTCGGTGGGAGACGGCCGACTTGTTAAAAAAAAAAAATTATGAGTGGACATGTCAGCAGATGGGTCTGTGAAAGATGAGGTGAATCATAGAATTGATGAGGTTAAAAGGGTGAGTGTTGCATTTAGGAGTCTGTGGAGACAAAGAACTTTGTCCATGGAAGCAAAGAGGGGAATGTATGAGAATATAATTATACCAACACACTTATATGGGTGTGAAGCATGGGTGGTGAATATTGCAACAAGGAGAAGGCTGGAGGCAGTGGAGATGTCATGTCTGAAGGCAATGTGTGGTGTGAATATAATGCAGAGAATTCATAGTTTGTAAATTAGGAGAAGGTGCGGGATTACCAAAACTATCATCCAGAGGGCTGAGGAGGGGTTGAGGTGGTTCAGACATGTAGAGAGGGTGGAACAAAATAGAATGACTTCGAGAGTATAAATCTGTAGTGGAGGGAAGGCGGAGTAGGGGTCGGGCTAGGAAAGGTTAGAGGAAGGGGGTAAAGGAGGTTTTGTGTGCGAGGGGCTTTGACGCGCAAGCATGAATGAGCATATTTAATAGGAGTGAATGGAGACAAATGGTTTTTAATACTTGACATGCTGTTGGAGTGTGAGCAAAGTAACATTTATGAAGGGATTCAGGAAAACCGGCAGGCTGGACTTGAGTCCTGGAGATGGGAAATACAGTGTCTGCACTCTGAAGGAGGGGTGTTAATGTTGCAATTTTATAACTGAAGTGTAAGCATGCCTCTGGCAAAACAGTGATGGAGCGAATGATGAGCTTTTATTTTTCGAGCCACCCTGCCTTGGTGGAAATTGACTATGTATTAATAAAAAAAAAAAATAAAAATATTAAGTTTAGTAATAAGCGAGGAGGGTAGAGGCAGTGGAAGTGTCATGTTTGAGAGCAATGCATATAAATTAGAAGATGGTGTGGAGTCATCAGGGGACAAGGAGGGGTTGTTGAGGTGGTTTGGACCTTTTATTGTTTTATTTAGGGGAATGTGCCAAACCTGTAGGGTCATGATTATAATCCTCCCACCCTGGATATTACTATTACATTCATTGTAGTATTTCTAAACCCTTAGAGGTTATATAATGTAAGGGAAATGAGAAGCAGTCAGATTCGATCCAAGGAAAGGAAGTATAGTTCTGGTTCTTTGGATCAATGAAGTTCCCTTAAAGGAGTTGCATATGGTGGAATATTTAATACTGTACTGTAGTTTTCAAGTGTATTTTAGTTTATTTTTAATAGTGTGTGTGTGTAGGTAAACCTTTTGTCCTTTGAAAGCCTTCCATTTCATTATGCATCTTTTTCAGAGAGTGTACCCGCAGTGGATTCTGCAATTTTATGCATCTTAAGCCTATATCCAGGGAACTTCGGAGGGAGCTTTATGGTCGTAAAAGGAAAAGGTACAGCACATAGGGCATTTATTTTTTTTTAGTGATATTTACCAGAAAATTAATATACAGTGGAACCTCGGTATATGACCTTAATTCATTCCAGAAGGCTGTTCAAGTGCCTCTCCCCTTTGAGTATCGAACAAGTTCTTCCCAACCAATTTTCTGTTTTGTTGGCTGTTATCGCTAATCGTTGTAGGCATCATGGTAACTTATTTATACAATACAAAAATGCGAAGAAACACAAAATAGTTTACAGCAAAGTTCTGGCAGGTCGTATTTGTTTGGTCAAGTGCTGAGCTTTGTTCGAGTAGGGAGCTGTCATATACCGAGGTTCCACTGTATATGTTGGCTTAAACATCACGGTAAATTCTATAATTTATTTGAAGACAGTATGATGTTACTAAAAGTATTACCCAAGAAGGTTGAGGAGGGGTTGTTGAGGTGGTTTGGACATTTAGAGGGGAAGGAGCAAAATAGGATTACAGGATGTATAAATCTATAGTGGAGGGAAGGCGGAGGGTAGGGGTTACCCCTAGGGAAGGTTAGAGGGAGGAGGTAAAGGTGGTTTTGTGTGAGGGGCTTAGACATCCAGCACACATGTGAGTGTGTTAGATAGGAGTATAGGCAAAAAATGGCTTTTGGGACTTGATGAGCTGTCGGAGTGTCAGCAAGACAACAGTTGTGAAAGGATTTAGGGAAACCAATTAGCCAGACTCAAGTCCTGGAGGTGGGAAGTATAGTGCCTACACTCTGAAGGAGGAATGGGGATATTTGCAGTTTGGAGGGGCATCTGATCTGTAGAATCTGCATGCCTCTGGGAAGACAATGATAAAGTGAATGATGGTGAAATGGTTTCTCGTTTTTCTAGTCAACCTGCCTCAGTAGGAGGTGGCCATTGCGTTGAAAAAACAACATAGAATATAAATTATATTTTTTTGTATACTGTACATAACTTATTTTATTTTTTTTTATTATCACACCGGCCGATTCCCACCAAGGCAGGGTGGCCCGAAAAAGAAAAACTTTCACCATCATTCACTCCATCACTGTCTTGCCAGAAGGGTGCTTTACACTACAGTTTTTAAACTGCAACATTAACACCCCTCCTTCAGAGTGCAGGCACTGTACTTCCCATCTCCAGGACTCAAGTCCGGCCTGCCGGTTTCCCTGAATCCCTTCATAAATGTTACTTTGCTCACACTCCAACAGCACGTCAAGTATTAAAAACCATTTGTCTCCATTCACTCCTATCAAACACGCTCACGCATGCCTGCTGGAAGTCCAAGCCCCTCGCACACAAAACCTCCTTTACCCCCTCCCTCCAACCCTTCCTAGGCCGACCCCTACCCCGCCTTCCTTCCACTACAGACTGATACACTCTTGAAGTCATTCTGTTTCGCTCCATTCTCTCTACATGTCCGAACCACCTCAACAACCCTTCCTCAGCCCTCTGGACAACAGTTTTGGTAATCCCGCACCTCCTCCTAACTTCCAAACTACGAATTCTCTGCATTATATTCACACCACACATTGCCCTCAGACATGACATCTCCACTGCCTCCAGCCTTCTCCTCGCTGCAACATTCATCACCCACGCTTCACACCCATATAAGAGCGTTGGTAAAACTATACTCTCATACATTCCCCTCTTTGCCTCCAAGGACAAAGTTCTTTGTCTCCACAGACTCCTAAGTGCACCACTCACTCTTTTTCCCTCATCAATTCTATGATTCACCTCATCTTTCATAGACCCATCCGCTGACACGTCCACTCCCAAATATCTGAATACGTTCACCTCCTCCATACTCTCTCCCTCCAATCTGATATTCAATCTTTCATCACCTAATCTTTTTGTTATCCTCATAACCTTACTCTTTCCTGTATTCACCTTTAATTTTCTTCTTTTGCACACCCTACCAAATTCATCCACCAATCTCTGCAACTTCTCTTCAGAATCTCCCAAGAGCACAGTGTCATCGGCAAAGAGCAGCTGTGACAACTCCCACTTTGTGTGTGATTCTTTATCTTTTAACTCCACGCCTCTTGCCAAGACCCTCGCATTTACTTCTCTTACAACCCCATCTATAAATATATTAAACAACCACGGTGACATCACACATCCTTGTCTAAGGCCTACTTTTACTGGGAAAAAATTTCCCTCTTTCCTACATACTCTAACTTGAGCCTCACTATCCTCGTAAAAACTCTTCACTGCTTTCAGTAACCTACCTCCTACACCATACACTTGCAACATCTGCCACATTGCCCCCCTATCCACCCTGTCATACGCCTTTTCCAAATCCATAAATGCCACAAAGACCTCTTTAGCCTTATCTAAATACTGTTCACTTATATTTTCACTGTAAACACCTGGTCCACACACCCCCTACCTTTCCTAAAGCCTCCTTGTTCATCTGCTATCCTATTCTCCGTCTTACTCTTAATTCTTTCAATTATAACTCTACCATACACTTTACCAGGTACACTCAACAGACTTATCCCCCTATAATTTTTGCACTCTTTTTTATCCCCTTTGCCTTTATACAAAGGAACTATGCATGCTCTCTGCCAACCCCTAGGTACCTTACCCTCTTCCATACATTTATTAAATAATTGCACCAACCACTCCAAAACTATATCCCCACCTGCTTTTAACATTTCTATCTTTATCCCATCAATCCCGGCTCCCTTTACCCCCTTTCATTTTACCAAACTGCCTCACGAACTTCCCCCACACTCACAACTGGCTCTTCCTCACTCCTACAAGATGTTATTCCTCCTTGCCCTATACACGAAATCACAGCTTCCCTATCTTCATCAACATTTAACAATTCCTCAAAATATTCCTTCCATCTTCCCAATACCTCTACCTCTCCATTTAATAACTCTCCTCTCCTATTTTTAACTGACAAATCCATTTGTTCTCTAGGCTTTCTTAACTTGTTAATCTCACATAACTATATAATGAAATTAAGTACTAAACCCAAAAGGGTCATACAGCATTTTATACGTAAGTACAATATTGAACATTTTTGATATTGTAAGGGTATTGTATAATGCTGCTGGTGAATGTATCATCTTTCAACAAACTGGCCGTATCCCACCGAGGCAGAGTGGCCCAAAAAGAAGGGGTTACTAGCCCTTTTCTCCCAGCATATTATCATAATCAAAACTAAGCACTAAATCCACAAGTGTCATACAGCTCTGTGGTTAATGTATAATACTGTAATTATTTCAGATATTTGTTTAATGTTGCAAGAAATGAATATATTATATAACACTTTATGCAGATCACCAGCCCGAACCCGTCGTAGAAGCTCTCCAGCTAGGAATCGAAGGTCAACAAGGTCCCGCTCAAGATCCAAGGAACGTAGACGAGACTACAGAGCTAATTCTACTTCACTGGAAAGATACCGCTCACATTCTCAAGACAAAGACCAACGAGAGGGAAGATTTGGGAGATTCTAGAAATTTAATTATTAATTTCCAGAAAATGTTTGTTGTAATGATTTATGATGCTTGTGTAAACTTAATTTGAGCAAAATCAATCAGTAATAATAAAAAAAACTCACAGTACCACAGCTGGAACAATACACAAATAAACCTGCACTTAGGAGACTGAAATTTATGATGTTTAAGCCCAACCATTAACAAGTCAGTGTGACTTAATAGTTCATGTCAGACCAAAAATGTTATCGTAAACTTCAGTTTCCTAAGTGTGGGTTGTGCAAATCTGTCGGTAGACTGTCAGTTGAGTTTAATATTTTAGATACTATACTAAATTTAATTTTTTCCTAATGTTAATTACCAGGAGAGGAGAGTATATATGGCATTAGTTTTTTGTTATTTTTACCTATTTTGTATTTTTGTTCTTAATAAATTAAAATGCAAAATCTTTGGTCTCCAAAGTTTTGCTTCTACTTGCAGATGACAGATTTTGTCATCTCAAATTCTGATCCTGTCATCCGCAACAGCACTGTTATTATTATAATCAAAAAGAAGCACTATGCCAAAAGACCTGTATAGTGTTTGGGAATAAAACTAAAAATGATAAACTGAACAAAAAGAGTACATTGAAAGACAAGACAAAGCACTTAGGAATTTCCCCTCATCTTCCACTGTTTAATTTTTGTTTGCTAGCAATGTATGCCTTGACACCCCCTCATAGGTAGTACACTGTACCCTGAAAACCACCACTTACCCTGCCTGGTGCACAACACCAGATTTGCCACTCCTGGATCCATAGGAAATGTCTGATATGTCACATCAGGGGGCCTGCCAGATGGTCACCTGTCATGCCTTAGACTGATTTAATTTCCATTTGGCAAAATGACATGACCACTGTAGCCCTACCAATAAAATGCATGTCATACGAGGGTTAACAGTGGTCCCTTTTCTATCTAGAAGCTGGATTTAACAAAGGAAAAAACTTACCCCATATTGAGGCTCACAGCGCTGTATGACCCTAGTGGGTTTAGCGCTTCATTTTTATTATAATTTTTTTTTTCAACAAGTTGGCCGTCTCCTACCGAGGCAGGGTGACCCAAAAAGAGAATACTTTCATCATTCAACACTTTCACCTCACTCATACATAATCACTGTCTTTGCAGAGGCACCCAGATACAACAGTTAGGATATATAAAGATATATAACATATCCCTCCATACTGCCAATATCCCAAACCTCTCCTTTAAAGTGCAGGCATTGTACTTTCCATTTCCAGTACTCAAGTCCGGCTATATAAAAATAACTGGTTTCCCTGAATCCCTTCACTAAATATTACCCTGCTCACACTCCAACAGCTTGTCAGGTCCCAAATACCATTTGTCTCCATTCATTCCTATCTAACACGCTCATGCACGTTTGCTGGAAGTCCAAGCCCCTCGCCCACAAAACCTACTTTACCCCCCCCCCTCCCTCCAACCTTTTCGAGGACGACCCCTACCTGGCCTTCCTTCCCCTACAGATTTATACTCTCCAAGTCATTGTACTTTGATCCATTCTCTCTAAATGACCAAACCACCTCAACAACCCCTCTTCAGCCCTCTGACTAATACTTTTAACCCCACACCTTCTCCTAATTTCCACATTCTGAATTCTCTGCATAATATTTATACCACACATTGCCCTTGGACAGGACATCTCCACTGCCTCCAGCCGCCTCCTCGCTGCAGCATTTACAACCCAAGCTTCACACCCATATATGAGTGTTGGTACCACTACTTTTATACATTCCCTTCTTTGCCTCCATGGATAGCGTTTTTTTTTTTTTTGTCTCCACAAATACCTCAACGCACCACTCCCCTTTTTTCCTTCATCAATTCTATGATTAACCTCATCCTTCATAAACCTATCCGCTGACATGTCAACTCCCAAATATCTGAAAACATTCACTTCTTCCATACTCCCTCTCTCCAATGTGATATCCAACTTTTTTCTTTATCTAAATTGTTTGATACCCTCATCACCTTACTCTTATCTATGTTCACTTTCAACTTTCTACCTTTACACACCCTCCCAAACTCGTCCACTAACCTTTGCACCTCTTTTTTAGAATCTCATAAGCACAGTATCATCAGCAAAAGAGTAACTGTGTCGACTGCCATTCTGTACTTGATTCCCAATAATTTAATCCCACCCCTCTCCCCAACACCATTTAATTCTTTCACAACCCCATCTATAAATATATTAAATGACTATGGTGACATTACACATCCCTGTCTAAGACCTACTTTTACCAGGAAGTAATCTCCCTCTCTCTTACACACTCCAACCTGAGCCTCGCTATCCTCGTAAAAACTCTTCACAGCATTTAGTAACTTACTACCTATTCCATACACTTGTAACATCTGCCACATTGCTCCCCTATCGACTGTCATATACCTTTTCTAAATCCATAAATGCAATGAAAACTTTCCTACCTTTAAATACTGTTCACATATATGCTTTAATGTAAGCACTTGATCTACACATCCCCTACCCACTCTAAAGCCTCCTTGATCATCTGCAATCCTACTCTCTGTCTTACCTCTAATTCTTTCAATAATAACCCTACCATACACTTTATCTGGTATACTCAGTAAACTTATTCCCATATAATTTTTACAAACTTATTCCCATATAATTTTTACAATCTCTTTTGTCCCCTTTCCCTTTATATAAAGGAACTAGACATGCTCTCTGCCAATCCCTAGGTACCTTCCCCTCTTGCATACATTTTTTTTTTTCAACAAGTCGGCCATCTCCCACCGAGGCAGGGTGACCCAAAAAGAAAGAAAATCCCCAAAAAGAAAATACTTTCATCATCATTCAACACTTTCACCTCACTTGCACATAAACACTGTTTTTGCAGAGGTGCCCAGAATACAACAGTTTAGAAGTATATACATATAGAAATACACACTATATCCCTCCAAACTGGCAATATCATTTATTAAACAAAAATAGCAACCGCCCAGGGAAGTACTACCGTCCTGCCAAGTGGGTGTAAAACGAAAGCCTGTAATTGTTTGGTATGATTGCTGGTGTCCATTTTTCTGTCATGTTGGTGTCTTTTTTGTCTCAAACATGCAAGGTTTCAGGTGCGTCTTGCTACTTCTACTTACACTTAGGTCACACTACACATACATGTACAAGCATATATATACTCACCCCTCTGGGTTTTCTTCTATTTTCCTACTAGTTCTTGTTCTTGTTTATTTCCTCTTACCTCCATGGGAAATTGGAACAGAATTCTTCCTCCGTAAGCCATGCGTGTTGTAAGAGGCAACTAAAATGCCAGGGGCAAGGGGCTAGTAACCCCTTCTGTATATATTACTAAATGTAAAAGGAGAAGCTTTCATTTTTCCTTTTCGGCCACCCCGCCTCGGTGGGATACGGCCGGTGTGTTGAAAGAAAGACCAACCACTCCAACACTATATCCCCCCATGCTTTTAACATTTCTGTCATGATCCCGTCAGTTCCAGCTGCTTTACCTCCACACTCACATCCTGCTCTTCTTCACTCCTAAAAGATGTGATACCTCCCTGGCCAGTGCATGAAATTATTGCCTCCCTTTCTTCATCGACATTTAAAAGTTTAAAAATATTCCTGCCATCTACCCAATACTTCCACCTCCCCATCTACTAACTCCCCTACTCTTTTTAACTGACAAATCCATTCATTCCCTAGGCTTTCTTAACTTGTTTATCTCACTCCAAAATTTTTTTCTTATTTTCTGACAGTGCCTCTCCCACTGTATCATCTGCTCTCCTTTTGCACTCTCTCACCACTTTTTTCACCTTCCTTTTACTCTCCATATACTCTACTCTTCTTATATTACTTCTGTTTTGTAAAAATCTCTCATAAGCTACCTTTTTCTTTTTTATCACACCCTTTACTTCATCATTCCACCAGTCACTCCTCTTTCCTCCTATAGCCACAAACTTCTGCCCCACATTCTAATACTGCATTTTTAAAACTATTCCAACCCTCTTAAACCCCCCCCCCCTACTATTCACACTTGCATTAGCCCATCTTTCTGCCAATAGTTGCTTATATCTCACTCTAACCTGCTCCTCCCTTAGTTTATATATTTTCACTGCCATTTTCCTTTTGTCCCATCTACCACTTATTCTAACTGTAGCTACAACTAAATGATCCGATATATCTGTTACCCCTCTATGAACATGTACATTCTGAAGCCTGCCCATCAACCTTTTATCCACCAATACATAATCTAACAAACTACTTTCATTATGTGCTACATCATACCTTGTATACTTATTTATCCTCTTTTCATAAAATATGTATTACTTATTACCAAACCTTTTTCTATACATAGCTCAATTAAAGGCTCCCCATTTTCATTTACCCGTGGCACCCCAAATTTACCTACTTCTCCCTCCACAACATTTTTACCCACTTTAGCATTGAGATCTCCAACCACAAGTACTCTCTCATTTGGTTCAAAACTCCCCATACACTCACTCAACATTTCCCAAAATCTCTCTTGTCTCCTCTACACTTCTCTTTTCTCCAGGTGCATAAACACTTACTATAACCCACTTTTCACATCCAACCCTTATTTTACTCCTCACAATCCTTGAATTTATACATTTATATTCCTTATTTTCCTGCCATAACTTATCCTTCAACATTATTGCTACTACTCCTTTAGCTCTAACTCTATTTGAAACCCCTGACCAAATCCTATTTATTTCTTTTCACTGAAACTCTCCTATCCCCTTCAGCTTTGTTTCACATAAAGCCAGGACATCCAGCTTCTTTTCATTCATAACATCAACAATCATCTATCATTCACACAACATCCACCTACAAACATTCCACTTTGACATTTTTTTTCTTTTTCTTTTTAGTAAGCTATACGGGAAAAGGGGTGACTGGCCCATTGTTCCCAGCATTTTAGTTGACTTTTACAACACGCATGGCATACGGAGTTAAGATTCTCATTCCACTTCCCTATGGATATGAAAGGAAAAGCAATAAGAACTATTAAGATAAAAATCAAAGAAAACTCAGATGAGTGTGTATATATAAACATGGACATTCATGTGTAGTGTAACCTAAGTGTAAGAAGTAGTAGCAAGATATACCTGAAATCTTGCATGTTTATGAGACAGAAAAAAAAGACACCAGCAATCCTACCATCATGTAAAACAAAATACAGGCTTCCTCTTTACACTCACTCAGTAGGACAGTAGTACCTCCCTGAGTGGTTGCTGTCTACCAACCTACTACCTAATAATATTGGGGCTAAATGTAGTGAGGAAAAATTGGCAAGTATTTAGATTTGATACAAGGAAGGAGCCAAGTCTAATTCCTATGATAAGCCCTTTTGTCACAGCAAGGAATACATAAATTTTGTTCATGGAGCAAAAAAAAAAAATCATTCAATGAAACAAAATACAATACAATACAGTACTGTACAGAGTATGAAACTGTATAGAGCTCAATACTGTACAAATATACTACTGTACTGCACTATAGCCTCTGCTTTTTGTGAAAGGATTGGGAGTAATAAATGGTAAAGCTATTTAAAACAAGTACTATATTTTCTAAAAATTGATCAGCTATGTGCATACAATGAATGTGATTAAAATCTACTACACTATACTAGTAAACCCTGATTTAACAGACTAACAGGAGGGAGTAGGTGGCTGGTGATGGCAACTGTGGTAGAAACAAGACTTGTTTTGCAATAATTGCAACAATGCAAATAATTCTGTAATCAATGGACTTTGCTCAGTGTTTCGGATTCAAGCAAACCAGTGGATTTTGACCCATATTTCTGAAGTCTGTAAAATTGAGGGTTTATTGTTTTTTTCATTAAAAGTCAGTCACCTTTTAGTATAAAGTTTTGATTTGAGAAGCAGATTTGGCTATGAACAACCACCCATATATCAAGCTCTGGGCCAATGTTCTGCTACAAAACCCAAAACTTCTAATCCTCCAGTGAGAATTTTAAAACAGATTACATTACAGCACTTCCTAAACTGTCCTAATACTGATAAGTATACTGTACATTCTTAATTTACCAAATATTTACAATAATGATTAAATCTGCAGAAAGCACATAAGCTACCTTCTGGCTGCTATATATACAAGTTAATGTTTTCTCCTTGTTCAATTTTTTCCAGTCTCTTACAAATTACTGAACCTTTTTCCTGCTTCTCTTTATTTTTCCAGCTTTCATATTTAAATATTTGCTTAGTTTATGTTATTTGGGCATTCTAATATGCATATCAGTAGTGTTTAGGAGTATTTTACAGAAAATATTTCTAATACTCTCCATGAGGAAGTGGAAAAGAATTCTTCATCTGTAAACCATGTGTGTTGCAAGTGGTAACCAAAATGCCAGGAGCAAGGGGCTAGTAACCCCCTCTCCTGTATAAATTCCTAAATTTATAAAGAAGAACTTTCATTTTTCTTTTTAGGTCACCCTGCCTTGTTTGGATATGGCCAGTTTGTTAAAAAAAAAAAAATCTAATACAGTGAAACCTTGGTACTTGAACAATTCGGTACTTGAACAATTCAGTACTTGAACGCTTTGTTCGGTATAAAAAATCACTTGATAGTTAACCGTTTGCTTGGCACTCGATGAAACAAACATGACCTACCAGAACATAAGCGTCAGTCTCCCCGCAGCTGTCGCTCAGTACAAAACTCCGCTGAACTTTAAACTATTTCATGTTTCTTTGTATTTTTTTGTTTTTGTTTTTTATATTATTTGTATAAGTTACCATGGGGCCTAAGAAGATTAGTGATAACAGTCAACCAAAAAGAAAATTGGTTAGTGTGTGTTTGCCCCTGATGTAAACACTGCATTCCGCCTCTCCATATAATATGCCTTTTATTAATTTTGGCATCTTTATTGTGCTTTTAGGTTATCTATCGTGTTTCTGATATCAAGTTGGAATAAATGTGATAGATAACCTTTATTACTAATATTAGCATAATTACACAACATTGTACTCACGCCACCGCTAGTATCTGGCTATCAAGACGACTCATCAGATACTGAATGCTCCTTCTGCTGGCCCCTCCCTTTCCCATAGCTCCTCCCACTTTGAGCCCCTCTTATATTATGCTTGCTTTCCATTTTGAATTTTTATTCGCACACACAAAAAAAAAAAAAACACAGAAGATTTACTGTTGTGCAGACTATGTCATTATTGAAAAGCATATTATTGAAAGCATATTAGACCCACCAGCTGACGTGTACTGGATGCGTGACTTGACTTGTTTACTCTTGAACATCAGCAAAAATTGAACATTGCTGCTATTTCTGAGCTCAATTTCAAGGTAGTCTGTAAACTATTGAAAATCATCTCTATTTTTGTAATATATCTTTCATTCTATCAAATGAGACCAAGAAAACCAATATACAATCATAAATATCATACAAAAATACACCACAAAGTTGCTGTAAGTGTATTTTTGGTGGTCTGAAATGGGTTAATCAAATCTACATTATTTCTTTTGGGAAAAATTCGTTTGGTACTTGAACAGATTGGCACTTGAACAGCCTTCTGGAATGAATTAAGTTCGAGTATTGAGGTTCCACTGTGTTGGTAAGTTCTCACACCCAAAATGAGGAAAAAAACGAAAGTTGAATTATTTAGTCCTCATCATGGGTGATCAAAAAGTCATCAACTGTGCATATTATGCATAAAAAAAATTATAATGCTGCTACTGATGTGTTCTTAAGTTGTATGCAGAATTAGCTTAAAATGTCAATAACTTCAATATATCACAAGCTGAATTATTATTTACTTAGTCAAATACCCAATATACATTTTAAACCCACATATAAAGTATTTAAAAGTTCTTCTAATATACATTTTAAACCCATATATAAAGGATTTCAAAACTCTTCTAATATACATTTTAAACCCATATATAAAGGATTTTAAAGCTCTTCTTTCTCAGTGTTCTCCAGCTTTTCTTTACTTTCCACTGCTGCAGCCTCTTTTTCTACTATATCATTTATTTTTATGTCTGCCACATGTTCTACTTTTTGCTTTAACTTCATATGTTCTTTAATCTCTTCTGACTGCTTCTCAGCTTTTCCAATTTTTTTATAGGCAGACTCTTCACCTCTATCTTCTTGCACTATCTCTTGAACATTTTCATCACTACTTAAATCTTTCTCCTCTTTAATTATTTCTTTCTTGTTGACTTGTTCTTCTCTCTGTAAAGCTGGCTCTTTTCCTGTCTTTATCTTTACACCCTTTCCCTCAACTTCAATAACAGAGGGCCCAACATACAAGCTTCCAAGATATTTATTGTATGGAGACCCAAAAAACAGATAGTTACCCACTCTATCTGTTTCTGATATTTGCAGCACTTTACCCGAATTTCCTTGGAGTGAATTTATGATGTTCCCTTGTGCATCAAGTTCAACAACTATGGTTAAGTTTGAGAAGTGTGTTTGTGCTTGTGATATAGGATGAAGATTGAGTATCTGAAAAAAAAAAATCAATAACTGTGTAAATGTTCACATTACAATACAAGTATGTACAGTATTAGGAACAATATAAGCCATGCCTACTGTTTACTAATTTAACACTTGATAAAATATAACATACAGTGATATACTACAAATACAGTTGGGATAAACAGAGGTTCCTTCAGTTTTTGAGACATTTATTATATAAGCACAGCATCAATGAATATTTGAAACTGTCTATCACTTTTAAGTAAAAGGCAGCGGATATTATGCTGCACCTAGCGTCAAAAAGTTTGACTTTATTGGGCTGACAAATTCTCTTAAATGGTTGATGTCGTATAGGGGACAATGATACCCGTTAAAGGTACCTGAGGTGATAAACTCCTTGATGGCTTTCACTTTTTCCAGTTAAATGCATATATGTGATGCATTAACACCTGCCATACAGCTTAATTAATCCAGAAAATAAAAATACAAGTATATATTCATGGTGAATGCATTTCCTTTATTGGGTCACCTTACCTGGTTGGAGATTGCTGTTGAAAAAATAAAAAAAAACACTGGATTCATGAGTCATTCATCTCTGTATTGTAAAGGGGACATATGTATATCCAGAGTAAAAGAACAAGCATAAAGTGTAAGGTGGTACAGAAGGCAATTACAGTAAACCTCTTAAGAATACAATAGATATGTCTTTGAAAATTAATGTGTAGTGTAAAACAGCATTTCATAAAGTGAAAAATATATTGGAAAATAAAGTTATGTTCCAGACACCTCCAAATCTGCTATGAAAATTTTTATTTTTGTACCAGGTAAAAAATATTACAGTATAACTTATCTTACTTTTTTTTTTCAATCAAAGAGTGAGGAGAGGGCTGATAAGAGCCTACAAAGTTGATAAAGAACAAAAAGGCACAATACCATGACTGGAACAATACAGTAGGGCCCCATTTATACAGCAGGTTAGGTTCCAGGCCACTGCCAGAAAGCAGACATCGCCGGAAAGCAGAACGCCATTTTTTCCACTTATAAATGCATATAAATGCGAGACAACAAGTTTACACTAGCTTATATTAAGTTAGTAATAGAACTATGCATTAAAAAACACAATAAAAAGTAAAATACATACACAGTAAATTCATTACTTACCTTAAAATATTTGTAGTCTTAATGTAGGGCGAGAGGCGAGTAGTACTTATTTGTAGAAAGTCAGATGTAGGTAGCCGGTAGAAGTAGGTATGTACCCCTCAAAGTAGGTTTCTTGATGTTGGTGAGGGGCTCTTGATCTAGGAAATTGGATCTGTGCTCCAGTTCCCTGAATTAAACCTGAATACCTTCCACATCTCCCCACAGGCACTGTATAATCCTATGGGTTTAGCACTTCCCCCTTGATTATTATAATAATAATGTAGGTATGTAATCTGCTTGGGCTACATACCTACACCTACCTACATAGCTACATGATATTTAATGTGGCCCAGAACCATATTATTACCATCGACATACCATGTTCACTGAGTTTAATCGTTTCTAACAACTACCTTTAGATGCCATCATAAACAAAGGGAGAAGTAATGAATAATTCATGACGAGAATTGTAAACAAAAGCATTATGTATTAAGGGGAGTGACTGGGCCAACACAGATTCATATACGTTTTCTCTGATGCTGGACCAGAGAAAACGTAATGTTTTCCCTCCACCCAACTACCACCACTCCATAGCATATAAACAGCATGTTTATATGCCATATAATGTGTTTCTTATATATTTTGAAGAAAATATCATAGATAGATCAATGAAAATGTCTATATTAACGAAAAATAAGACATTTAATGTGCCCAAGAGTCATTATTATTACGTACTATTAGTATTACTATGGCGTTAAGACTAGAGGGACACTCTTAGTGTCCACAATAAAATGTCACATTAGTTGCACTTGTGTCTTTTACTTTACAAATCTGTTCTTGCTTTCTAATATACACGCTTGATGGCATACACTTCCAACATGACTATCTTGTCAGTAGGTAAAATGTAATCAGGACTGTAATCATTCTCAGAAAAATAATTCTTTAAAATCAGCCGGGTAATTTCAGCTCGTGTACTCTCTTCCATAAACTTTATGGTATGAAGCAAACTGCACTTTTTAAAGCTTCCAAACCATCCAGCACTAAACATACACTTGTAAATGCTTTCATTTACTTACAGTTTTATAGTGTGATAAGACTGTGACTTATCATCTGAAAACTAAGCAGAGCTTCTTAACTTAATTTCATCTCAATCTACACATTAAGTAATTTTTTTATAATAACCTCTGGCAATACTTATAAGAACATAAGAAAGAAGGAACACTGCAGCAGGCCTACTGACCCATGCGAAGCAGGTCCATGTCGTGTCTCCTGGATTAGCCCAATGACCCACCAAGTCAGGTCACTTCCACTTAAGGAAGGAGCACAGCATCAGACCTAGTAGCACAAGCTAGTCAGGTCCAACTCACACCCACTCATGTATTTATCTAACCTATTTTTAAAACTACACAATGTTTCAGCCTCTATAACTGTACTCAGGAGTTTGTTCCATTCATCCACAACTCTATTACCAAACCAGTGCTTTCCTATATCCTTCCTGAATCTGAATTTTTCCAACTTGAAACAATTGCTGCGAGTCCTGTCTTGGGTGGAAATTTTCAGCGCACTATTTACATCCCCTTTATTTACTCCTGTTTTCCATTGCACAGACTGTTTTTCTGCTCATTGTTTTTCATTGTATGAATAGTAGATTTATTCACACCAAAATCACAAGTAGTCCAATACCACCCATGCTCCACCTCTAAATACAGTAGGACTCCCTTATCAATGGAAAATATGTTCCTAGACCTACTGTAGATGCCTGAAACTGCGGACAGTAGCAAACCATATACATACAGTGGTCCCTCGATAATCGTCCGGCCTGAAAGTCGTCCATTTCGGAAATAGTCCCGTTATTTCGTCGAAACATTGGCTCGCAAATGGTCCGTTAACTCACTAATCGTCCTTCATCTGGAATGCGTACTCACGCTCTGAGCGGCCTGGGCCTGCCTTCCCGGCCAGTGTGCCGTTGTTTACCGGTGAGCGACGGTCCCCTCACGTGTTCATACGAAATATTTCATAATATTCCATTGATTTTAGTGCTTGCAAGTGCTAAATAAGCTACCATGGCTCCAAAGAAAGCTCCTAGTGCCAAGCCTTTGGTAAAGAAGGTGAGAAATACAATTGAATTTAAGAAAAACATCATTGAACAATGTGAAAGTGGCATACATGTGAGCGAACTGGCCAGGATGTATGTACAGTATAACAAATCCCGTACAACCATCTTCCATCATACTCAAAAAAAGGAAATCAAGGATGCTGTTGTTGCAAAGGGGATAAATATGCTGACAAAAATGAGATCACCAGTACTTGAAGATGTTGAGAAGTTATTATTGGTGTGGATAAACAAGAAACAATTAGCAGGAGATAGTCTTATGACGTCGCTTATTTGTGAAAAGGCTAGGCAGTTGCATGACGATTTGGTAAAGAAATTGCCTGCAACTAGTGATGATGTGAGTGAATTTAAGGCCAGCAAAGGCTGGTTTGAGAGATTTAAGAAGCGTACTAGCATATACAGTGTGATAAGACATGGCGAGGCTGCCAGTTCGGACCAAAAAGCGGCTGAAAAATATGTGCAGAAATTCAAGGAGTACATAGAGGCTGAAGGACTGAAACCTGAACAAGTGTTCAATTGTGACGAAACAGGCCTCTTTTGGAAGAAAATGCCAAAGAGGACCTACATTACTCAGGAAGAAAAGGCACTGCCAGGACACAAGCCTATGAAAGACAGGCTGGCGCTCATGTTCTGTGCTAATGCTAGTGGGGATTTCAAAGTGAAGCCGTTACTAGCGTACCATTCTGAAAATCCCAGAGTGTTCAAGAAAAACAATGTTATGAAGAGTAAATTGTGTGTGTATTGGAGATCTAATAATAAGGCATGGGTCACAAGGGACATTTTCGTCGAGTGGTTCAATGAAGTGTTTGGCCCTAGTGTGAAGAATTGCCTCCTGGAAGAGAAATTGGATCTCAAGTGCCTCCTAGTAATGGACAATGCACCTGCTCATCCTCCAAACTTGGATGACCTAATTCTGAAGTAGTTTGGGTTCATCACAGTAAAGTTCTTGCCCCTGAATGTTTGAAAGGTGCTTTAATGTGACCTCAGACACTCACTTGACCCTAAGAGATTTTTGGAAAGAACACTTCAGTATTCTCCATTGCATAAGCCTTATAGGTAAAGCTTGGGAGGGAGTGACTACCAGGACTTTGAACTCTGCTTGGAGAAAATTGTAGCCAGATTGTATCCACAAGAGGGATTTTGAAGGGTTTGAGGCAGCCCCTGATGAGCCTATGTCAGTTGTGAACTCCACTGTGGCACTGGGGAGTTCCATGGGGGTTGGATGTGAGTTTGGAGGATGTGGAAGAGTTGATGGAGGACCACAACGAAGAGCTAACCACTGAGGAGCTGCAAGAGCTTCAGCAGGAAGAGCAACAGATCGCAGCTCAGAACCTTTCTGCAGAGGAGGAGGAAGAGAGATGGAAGAAGGTGCCTTCTTCAGAAATTAAGGAGATCTTTGAAATGTGGGATAGGATGGGAAGATTTATGGAGAAACATCACCCTGAGAAGGATGTTGCAAGCCATATCAGCAACTTGTACAGTGACAGAGTCTTGGCCCATTTTAGGGAAGTTTTAAAGAGACACCAGAAACAGAGCTCTCTGGACAGTTTTTTTGCGAGACAGGAGTCCAGTGACTCTCAAGCTGGTCCTAGTGGCATTAAGAAACAGAGAAAAGAAGTAACCCCAGAAAAGCAATTGGTACCCGAGGTGTTGATGGAAGGGGATTACCCTTCCAAACAGTAAATAATCCAATCTCTCTCCTCCTCCAGTCTTCCATACACTAAAAAGAATCGCCAATAAAGGTAAGTGTTATGCTGTTAATGTTTCATTCATCATGTGCCATTGTATTGTTTATGTACTATATCTATTTCATGTAAAAAATTTTTTTGTTTTAATACTTCTGGGTGTTAGGAACGGATTAACTGTATTTACATTATTTCTTATGGGGAAAATTGATTTGAAAATCGTCTATTTTGATAATAGTCACACTTCCAGGAACGGATTATGGACGATAATTGAGGGACCACTGTATATAAGTTGTTTTTCATTTACATACGTCCCTATGATAAAGTTTGATTGATAAATTACGTACAATAAGTGGAGACTAGCACTTTTTCACTAATGGGAAGCACTTCACAACCTCTCTTAGACTTTAAAGAACTGTCACCATCACTACTTTTACACTTTCTTGTCATTATTAGGCAAAACTAAGGCTTATTTTCAGACCAGGGTAAACTGCTGATAATTCAAACTGTGGAAACCAGACCTGTGGATACGGCAGTCCTACTGTATAGAAAACTTCTACTTTCTTCAATACCATCAGATTCATGCCTCTTGGCAGTTCTGGCATCACTCTCTAGTGTTATGGTTAACATTTAGAGATGACATGGGATATTAAAATGTCCAAAATTGTTTGATGAACAAACCTAGTAAGCAACTGAAGGTTGTGTGGGTGGCAGTGGGTAAGGTACAAGATGCGCCATCACATCTACTTCCTGCCCTTGGATCCAACTGTCCACTTTGGGTTGGAGAGGGAAAACTCTCACAAGCTTTGATACAGCAAACCCACACAAGTCAACATTCTGGAGTTTGGAAATGTATAAACACATGCAGTATAATGTGATCCTTTATTGACAACGTTTCGCTCACACAGTGGGCTTTTTCAAGTCACAAACAGATTTATCTGGGGTGGAAGGTACGCGAGTATTTATAGTCAGGTTCAGAATGCTGGGTCAGGTGGAGAATGCTGCATCTGATGATTTACCAAGTGGGGTTATAGAGTGTAAAATCTTGGGTAGCTTGGAAGGGAGACTGGATAAGTATGTGAGTAGACCTTCTGCAGTGTTCCTCCATTCCTATGTGGGATAGAGATGAAGAAGTTTCTTGGCAAGTGGTTCAGCTACGTTATAGAAGCCATTGTCCTGGTTGAAGTTGTTGGATATAGAGATAAGCGATGATTCTAGGATTCTTCGGTACTAAGTGTTGTCTTCTCTGGGAAGAAGTCTTGAGTTTCTGAAGTTTATTAAATGGTTGTGTGAATTACGGTGTTGTACACAGGTATTCCTTGGATTGTCAGACCTGCTTGCGTATTGGTGTTCTGAAATACGTGTTTGGAGGTCCCTTGATGTTTCACCCACGTATAATTTGCTGCAGTCATTACAAGGGACTATGTATACCCCTGCAGAGGATGGAAGTTTGTCCTGTCTATTATTGGTAATGTCCTTGATGGTCGTGGTTGTGGAGGTAGATACTTGGAATGAGGTATTGGAAAAGATGTTGGAAACGTGTTTGGCAATGGAGTTGGTGGGGAGGACTATGTATCTCTTCTCGGCAGTGTCTTCTCTGGGTGTGTTGAAGATGTTTAATGCCCGTCATCTCCAGTCTCTGATGAAGTGACGAGGATAGTGAAGTTTGGAAAATACTTGTTCAATTATAGTGCATTCTGTTTGTGACTTGAAAAAGCCCACTGTGTGGGCTAAACATTGCCAATAAAGGATCACATTATACTGCATGTGTGTTTATATTTCCATTGTGTCGGTATTTTATACCATTTATTTCCATTCTGGAGTTTAAATTTACCAGAGAAGGGCTCCTGACCCAAAGAACTGGAGCAATCTTTGTTTTTAGATTAAACTAGATTACCTCTCATTTTCTGGTACTGTATGACCCCGATGGGTTTAGCATTTCTCCATGAATGTAATAATTCACTGGCAAAATGGTGGAACTGGATCCAAGCAGCTATCAAACACTATAAATGCTGAAAAAATTACATGAAAAAACACTAAAGCTGAGAAACAAATATGTAATCACAAATAGGTAACCATACAAAATATATTCTAACTGAAATAACTGTAAATATCATTACAAATGAGAGTACAGTGGTACCAACACTCATATGGGTGTGAAGCTTAGGTTGTGAATGTTGTGGCGACGAGGTTGGAGGCAGTGGAGATGCTGTGACTGAGGGCAATGTGTGTTGTAAATATTATGCAACAAATTCATAGTTGGGGAATTAAGAGGTGTGGAGTTAATAAAAGTATTATCCAGAGGGCTGAGGAGGGGCTATTGAGATGGTTGGTCATTTAGGAGAGGAAGGCACAAAACAGGATGACTTGAAGGGTGTATAAATGAAGGGAAGGCAGGGTAGGGGTCATCCTAGGAAAGGATGGAGGGAGTGGGGTCAAGGATGTTTTGTGTGCAAGGGGCTTGAACCTCCAGCAAGCATGTGTGAGTATGTTAAATAAGAGTGGAAGCAAATGGCTTTTGGGACCTGACGAGCTGTTGGAGTGTGAGCAGGGTAATATTTTGAAAGGGATTCAGGGAAACTGGTTAGTTGGACTCAAGTCCTGGAGATGGGAAGTACAGTGCCTGCACCCTTAAACCAGGGCTGGGGATACTTGCTGTTTGGAGGGACATCTGAACTGTCGTATCCGTGTGCCTCTGACAAAACAGTGATAGTGTGAATAATGGTGAGCGTTTCTTTTTCCGGTCACCCTACCTCAATGGGAGACAGTGTATTTTTTTTTTAAATAACTAAAAAACTTGAAAACTTACCCAATAAGCAATTCGCTCTGTGTATTGATTGGGATAAATCCTGGTAAAGGAGTCAAACACTAATCGTGTCATGGTTAGCAGCCTGACAGCAAGTTTTCGAAGAAGTGGCAATTTTCCAATGATTCCATTAATTTTTCTGCTGAATTCACTGTAAACACCAATAAGTGACACATAGTATCCACCATTCTTATTGCTTCGTATGTTGTCAGGCATACCTGGAAGCCTATCTACAAACACCTCTGTCTGACCGGCTTTAGGACCTTTGAGCCAATATCTGCAATTAAAAACAATGAGGGGAAAATATGCATTAGGGATTATTTTCTATACATCTATATTATTTGATGCCTTATTCCACTAAATTACTTTTTTTCAAAGGTGAACTCATACAGAAACTACCCATATATTTTAGTTCCCTTCAGTTATCAATTAAATTCTACAGTTCTTTACAAAATAAGTTGCAGCAATAACAAAGCCATTCACTCATTTTTTTTTTTCAACAAATCGATCGCATCCCACCGAGGTAGGGTCACCTAAAAAAAAAATGTAAGTTATTCTTTTTAAATTTAGTAATTTATACAGAAGTGGTTACTAACCCCTTGCTCCTGACATTTTAGTCGCTTCTCATTAATATTTAACCACTGGAAAAATAAGAATGTGAGCTACTGTACAGAAGGACTAAAAGTGTCAGGAAGACACAGAATGACTTCTTACAGAGAAAAAAAATGGCTGACATATCTTTGTAAAGTAAAAGGACACAAGTGCAACTAATGTGACATTTTATTGTGGCAACGTTTCGCTCTCCAGGAGCTTTGTCAAGCCGATACAAACGGCTTGTATCGACTTGACAAAGCTCCTGGAGAGTGAAATGTTGCCACAATAAAATGTCACATTAGCTGTAGGGCGAAATGACAGTAGTTTGTTGGATTATGTATTGGTAGATAAAAGACTGTTGAGTAGACTTCAGGATGTACATGTTTATAGAGGGGCCACAGATATATCAGATCACTTTCTAGTTGTAGCTACACTGAGAGTAAAAGGTAGATGGGATACAAGGAGAATAGAAGCATCAGGGAAGAGAGAGGTGAAGGTTTATAAACTAAAAGAGGAGGCAGTTAGGGTAAGATATAAACAGCTATTGGAGGATAGATGGGCTAATGAGAGCATAGGCAATGGGGTCGAAGAGGTATGGGGTAGGTTTAAAAATGTAGTGTTAGAGTGTTCAGCAGAAGTTTGTGGTTACAGGAAAGTGGGTGCAGGAGGGAAGAGGAGCGATTGGTGGAATGATGATGTAAAGAGAGTAGTAAGGGAGAAAAAGTTAGCATATGAGAAGTTTTTACAAAGTAGAAGTGATGCAAGGAGGGAAGAGTATATGGAGAAAAAGAGAGAGGTTAAGAGAGGTGGTGAAGCAATGTAAAAAGAGAGCAAATGAGAGAGTGGGTGAGATGTTATCAACAAATTTTGTTGAAAATAAGAAAAAGTTTTGGAAGTGAGATTAACAAGTTAAGAAAGCCTAGAGAAAAATGGATTTGTCAGTTAAAAATAGGAGAGGAGAGTTATTAAATGGAGAGTTAGAGGTATTGGGAAGATGGAGGGAATATTTTGAGGAATTGTTAAATGTTGATGAAGATAGGGAAGCTGTGATTTCGTGTATAGGGCAAGGGAGGAATACATCTTGTAGGGTGTGAGAAGAGCCAGTTGTGAGTGTGGGGGAAGTTCGTGAGGCAGTAGGTAAATGAAAGGAGGTAAGGCAGCCGGGATTGATGGGATAAAGATAGAAATGTTTAAAAGCAGGTGGGGATATAGTTTTGGAGTGGTTGGTGCAATTATTTAATAAATGTATGGAAGAGGGTAAGGTACTAGGATTGGCAGAGAGAGCTGCATAGTTCTTTGTATTAAAGGCAAAGGGGATAAAGAGAGTGCAAAAATTATAGGGGGATAAGTCTGTTGAGTGTACCTGGTAAAGTGTATGGTAGAGTTATAATTGAAAGAATTAAGAGTAAGACGGAGAATAGGATAGCAGATGAACAAGGAGGCTTTAGGAAAGGTAGGGGGTGTGTGGACCAGGTGTTTACAGTTGAAACATATAAGTGAACAGTATTTAGATAAGGCTAAAGAGGTCTTTGTGGCATTTATGGATTTGGAAAAGGCGTATGACAGGGTGGATAGGGGGGCAATGTGGCAGATGTTGCAAGTGTATGGTGTAGGAGGTAGGTTACTGAAAGCAGTGAAGAGTTTTTTACGGAGGATAGTGAGGCTCAAGTTAGAGTATGTAGGAAAGAGGAAATTTTTTCCAGTAAAAGTAGGCCTTAGACAAGGATGTGTGATGTCACCGTGGTTGTTTAATATATTTATAGATGGGGTTGTAAGAGAAGTAAATGCGAGGGTCTTGGCAAGAGGCGTGGAGTTAAAAGATAAAGAATCACACACAAAGTGGGAGTTGTCACAGCTGCTCTTTGCTGATGACACTGTGCTCTTGGGAGATTCTGAAGAGAAGCTGCAGAGATTGGTGGATGAATTTGGTAGGGTGTGCAAAAGAAGAAAATTAAAGGTGAATACAGGAAAGAGTAAGGTTATGAGGATAACAAAAAGATTAGATGATGAAAGATTGAATATCAGATTGGGGGAGAGAGTATGGAGGAGGTGAACGTATTCAGATATTTGGGAGTGGACGTGTCAGCGGATGGGTCTATGAAAGATGAGGTGAATCATAGAATTGATGAGGGAAAAAGAGTGAGTGGTGCACTTAGGAGTCTGTGGAGACAAAGAACTTTGTCCTTGGAGGCAAAGAGGGGAATGTATGAGAGTATAGTTTTTACCAACGCTCTTATATGGGTGTGAAGCGTGGGTGATGAATGTTGCAGCGAGGAGAAGGCTGGAGGCAGTGGAGATGTCATGTCTGAGGGCAATGTGTGGTGTGAATATAATGCAAGAGATTCGTAGTTTGGAAGTTAGGAGGAGGTGCGGGATTACCAAACTGTTGTCCAGAGGGCTGAGGAAGGGTTGTTGAGGTGGTTCGGACATGTAGAGAGAATGGAGCGAAACAGAATGACTTCAAGAGTGTATCAGTCTGTAGTGGAAGGAAGGCGGGGTAGGGGGTCGGCCTAGGAAGGGTTGGAGGGAGGGGGTAAAGGAGGTTTTTGTGTGCGAGGGGCTTGGACTTCCAGCAGGCATGCGTGAGCGTGTTTTAATAGGAGTGAATGGAGACAAATGGTTTTTAATACTTGACGTGCTGTTGGAGTGTGAGCAAAGTAACATTTATGAAGGGATTCAGGGAAACCGGCAGGCCGGACTTGAGTCCTGGAGATGGGAAGTACAGTGCCTGCACTCTGAAGGAGGGGTGTTAATGTTGCAGTTTAAAAACTGTAGTGTAAAGCACCCTTCTGGCAAGACAGTGATGGAGTGAATGATGGTGAAAGTTTTTCTTTTTCGGGCCACCCTGCCTTGGTGGGAATCGGCCAGTGTGATAATAAAATAATAAAAAATAAATAAATTAGCTGTACTTGTGTCCTTTTACTTTACATATTGTCGGTAAATCTACCAACATTATTACAATCTGTCTGACATATCTTTGTTTTAATTTAACCACAACTTATCTACTAAAGCAGGTTTCTGAAGAGGCCTCAGTGTGAGGCTGATATGGAGTATTCATATAAATTTATTTACTATATCCATGTGAGAAGGTTTGTGCCAATGACAATTATCTATATTACTCTTTCACATTTGTATTTTTACTCATATTTATTTATGGAGAGAGGGGGTAAAGGAGGTTTTGTGGGCAAGGGGCTTGGACTTCCAGCAAGCGTGCATGAGCGTGTTAGATAGGAGTGAATGGAGACGAATGGTACTTGGGACCTGACGATCTGTTGGAGTGTGAGCAGGGTAATATTTAGTGAAGGGATTCAGGGAAACCGGTTATTTTCATATAGTCGGACTTGAGTCCTGGAAATGGGAAGTACAATGCCTGCACTTTAAAGGAGGGGTTTGGGATATTGGCAGTTTGGATGGATATGTTGTGTATCTTTATATGTGTATGCTTCTAGACTGTTGTATTCTGAGCACCTCTGCAAAAACAGTGATAATGTGCGAGTGTGGTGAAAGTGTTGAATGATGATGAAAGTATTTTCTTTTTGGGGATTTTCTTTCTTTTTTGGGTCACCCTGCCTCGGTGGGAGGCGGCCGACTTGTTGAAAAAAAAAAAAAAAAAAAAAATATTTTCTAGATTTCAGAGTACATTCTGAATGGTTTAGAAAGACACGTAAGCAAACACTATAACATATTTATTAGAAAACGTTTCGGTCCTGGGACCTTGATCACTTCTAACATACAGAGGTAGAAAGACATTATATATATAGGCGGAGAGTGAGATGTGACGCACGTGACCTGAGGCAGGTCCTTATCAAAACAACCTCTGCTTATGATGAGGACGGGTAGACGATGAAATCATGTGACTCCTGTGTTGTTGGGTTGGTGCTGCTTAAGTATCATGTATGCCAATGTTTTTGGCATACATGATACTTAAGCAGCACCAACCCAACAACACAGGAGTCACATGATTTCATCGTCTACCCGTCCTCATCATAAGCAGAGGTTGTTTTGATAAGGACCTGCCTCGCATGGGCCAGTAGGCCTTCTACAGTGTTCCTCCTTTCTTATGTTCTTATGACATTCCTCAGGTCACGTGCGTCACATCTCACTCTCCGCCTATATATATAATGTCTTTCTACCTCTGTATGTTAGAAGTGATCAAGGTCCCAGGACCGAAACGTTTTCTAATAAATATGTTATAGTGTTTGCTTACGTGTCTTTCTAAACCAACTTGTCGGTATTTATTACCAAGGTTTATACCACATTCTGAATAAAAATTAGGAAAACAATTTTTAGTGATTAGACAGCAACTGCCCAGGGAGGTACTACCATCCTGCCAAGTGAGTGTAAAATGGAAGCTACCCAAGCTTATTGTTTGGGTAGCATTTATTCTGTTAGTGGGTTCGATTTGTGAAGGACCTGCCTAGTATGGGCCAGCAGACCTACTGCAGTGTTCTTCCTTTCTTATGTTCTTATGTCTCATAAACATGAAAGATTTCAGGTACGCCTTGCTGCTTCTACTTACACTTGGGTCACACTACACTTGCATGTACAAGCATATAAGAACATAAGAAAGAAGGAACACTGCAACCGGCCTACTGACCCATCAGGAGCAGGTCCATGTCCCCCCCTCCCCGGATTAACCCAATGACCCCCCCCCCCAGATTAGCCCAATGACCCACCCAGTCT